AGAGAGAGAGAGAGAGAGAGTTCTTCTTCTTCCTCTTCTCAGTCCACCATCTCCTTCTCACCCTCTCGCTATCTGACTTCACTGCATCAGCAGACTACGAGAGAGAGAGAAAGAGCTTGGTGACATTGGATCCAGACTCGACATGGGACTTCAGACATTTCGAAGAGGGGATTATTTGGGACTTGTAACGAGACTTGGTGTTGACGACTTTCCCATCTCCCCCCTTCCTCTTCTTCGTCTGATCCCTTCCTCTTCGTCTGTGTACGTCTGGACCTGGCGCCTCTTTCCTGTGCATAGCGCCAGGCCCCTTCACACTTTGTGATAAGCATGATGTATGTTTGGACTGCGTTGAAACATTGATTGGGCTAGTCATTAGTACTCTAGCATTCTGCTTCGCTATCTTGTACTACGTGAAAGAGGTCAGTCCCGGTCAGGTCAGGACTTGTATCTAAGTCTTCCACTGCGCTATAAAGCACAATTTGTATGTATCGGAATGCACATTGCTTGTTGAGATTCCACTTGCACTGCATTGTCCATTCAGTCCTTTTTATCACATTGTGGATCCTCGGTTTATATGTACATCGCCCAACAGGGCATGTAACACTCTGTCTCTCTCTCTGTCTCTCTGTCTCTCTCTGTCTGTCTCTCTCTGTCTCTCTGTCTCTGTCTCTGTCTCTCTGTCTCTGTCTCTGTCTCTGTCTCTGTCTCTGTCTGTCTCTGTGTCTCTCTCTCTCTCTCTCTCTCTCTCTCTCTCTCTCTCTCTCTCTCTCTCTCTCTCTCTCTCGGCCCCTTGGCTGGTCGCTTGCTTGGAAATGTGAAGCTCATTGAGGCCAATGCTAGTCGCACTGCCTGAGCCGTGCTGCACTCCTTAGAAAGAAGATCAAGTACCCTTCCTGCTTCGAAAGTGGTGATAGAGGTGGTCGATTCTCACATTCGCACATGCTGTCGTAATAAACAATCAAGTGATAGACATGAAAAGAAGAAGACTGCAACACAAAAGGTTGATCAAGGGCATTATGGAACTCACATTCTCCTCTCTTCTTCAAGCTCCCTTTCTCTTTCCTTCTGCATCCTTTCTTCTTCTTTTCTCTGTTTTGCACGTGCTCTCCCCTCTGACGCATTCTTCAGAAATCTTTGCTTCTTCTTTTCCTTCAACTGCAGCAGACCATGACCAGTCCGTGTTTGTGTTTGCACACCACTTTGAATCTGAGGATCTATTCTTGCTCGAGTAGCATTTCATGTGTGTTTGCAACATTCTCAGAAATCTGATGATGATGTATCACATCACATCAGATACATCACACATCATATTACACTAGATGACCCGTTGCAGCTTCGCCCGCAAAAACAGAAAAAGAAAAAACCACAAAAGAAAGAAAACGCATAAGGAACAGCCCTATCATATGCCGCTTCTTTCACAATAAGAAAAAGAAGAGCCTGAGAGCAGACGAAAACCCGCGTGCAAGAAAATAGCAGGAAATACCACCGAACATCCTTTTTTCTTTATCTTTGCGTGTTTTGTTTGGGGAGCCGTTACCTTTGCAGCATCGTTTTTGTTTTGTGCTGTGCAAGAACTCTGGACTTTTCTGA